GGAGGTGCTTCAGGTCTCCACTCAGTATGCGATTGTGAGTACCACCAGAATGCCAAGCTTTTAGCATTAAAAATACTAGATATTTCAGACTATAAAAATCTCTTGACATTAGTTGTATGTGACTTAACAAATTGAGACTGCATGCTGCATAGTTGTGATAACTGCCCAGATACTGACACACTTAAAGAGTATCTTACTACTTTGTTTGAGAAATATAGCATTGAAGAAATCACCTTCAATCGGTTGCAAAAAGCCAACAAAAAACATGATATAGTTCCAGTAACTCTTCCAGTGGACGATTTTATTGAAAAAGCTTGTCATCAAATAGACCAATTAAGAGACCATCACTATATAGCCAAAAATTAAGCAGCATATTTGCAGCATCTGAAAATCACATTACCAAGTAAGCATATTTTAATATTACTAGACTTTGCTGAAAATTACAGTTTTTTAATTCAAGATGCAGTACAAGGTTTCCATTGGAACAATAGCCAAGCAACATTGCATCCTTTTGTTATTTACTTAATGGAAGAAAATAAGATAAAATGTAAAAGTATTTGTACTATCTCAGATAATTTGAAATACAATACAAACTCAGTTCATTGTTTCATTCATGAAGTATTAAAACATTTAAAAAACTTGATATCCTACTTTAACCATTGCAATTATTTCAGTGATCGTGCAAGTTCACAATACAAAAATTATAAAAACATATCTAACTTATGTCACCATAAACAAGATCATGACGTATCTGCAGAATGGCATTTTTTTGCTACATCACATGGAAAGAGTGCGTGTGATGGTGTTGGGGGAACTGTCAAAAAACTATTGGCAAGGGCAAGTTTACAATCACTAGTTGATCCTATCAATTCATCTGAGAAAATGTATGATTGGTGTAGACAAAATATTGATGGAATACAGTTTCAATACATTTCAAATGATGCAGTCACATTGCATTACATAAAATTTAAATTAGAAGAATGTTATGCTACTTGTTCAACAATTCCAGGAACAAGAAACCACCATTGTTTTATACCACAATCATTAACTACTTTACAAATGAGACGGGTTTCATTCGACAATGTGTTTACTAATGTAAATATTTCAACAATGCAACAGAACTATATGATTCCACTTGCATCTCTTTCACCAGGAATTAATATAGCATGTGTTTATGATGGAAAATAGTTTTTTGGTAATATTGTGGAAATATCTGAAGAAAATCAAGATATCCTTATAAAGTTCATGAAGCAGTCTATTTCCTCTAACACTTTTACTTGGCCACATAGAGAAGATATTTGCTGGGTTCCAATAATGCATGTTCTATGCAAAATTTCATCTTTAAAAGTGCAATCAGCAACTAGTAGATGCTATGAACTATCAGCTCAAGTAAAAATTGAAATACTACATTTGTACAATAGTATATTTAATAACAAAATTATATAATAACAAAGCAAAATTGTTATAACCTTGATCAATCAAAAAAATGTATTGAAGCATACTTGAATATATATTATGTATTAAAAAACATTATTATTTAATAAAAAATCAACATAAAGATGGAGTATGTTGATTTTTTATTAAATAATAATGTTTTTTAATACATAATATGTATTAATAATTATAGTTATATAATTACATAATAAACTTGCGTATTGCAATGACAAATCAAATTACTCTTATCACTTGATATAATCTGTAATCTAAATTTAAACATGACTATAATAAGATAAAGGAGGAAGGGTCGATTTATTTTCATTTTTTATCTAATAAGCATTTAGCTTATTAGATAAAAAATGAAAATAAATACTTATCATTCTAGTTATCTGCACAACTCATATCAGTTATTATCTTACAGTTTTATATTCTGACTTAAATTTAGTATCATTTTCCCCAAAGCATTCGCTACTCCGCCTTATTATTTGTAAATTTAAAAATAAATATCACAGCTATCATTTGAGTATGTTTGAGTATCATTTGAGTAATACTTGGTGCATAAAGATACTTCATGCATCAGATATAATACCAGACACACTGCATAAGCTAAAATGTCTAATAAACAGTAGAAAATGTTATCGAGAAATGAGTTCTTCTTAAGATAAGAATGTTCTGGGCAAAAATTTGCATGTTAAAAAACAAAAAGACAGGGAGGGGGAGCAACTAAGGTTAGTTAAAACCTGAGTTTAATTCAGTCCTAATTTTAAGCTAATTTGTAGCAATGACTTTGATATACTTTCATATATATATACATTTTTTTGCATTGCAGTAAATAATGAATACTTAAGTACATATATCTCTATTTTTTGCGTTTTTAATGCATTTTGTGCCAACTTCATTGTTCTGACTTTGTAACTTCCCCATGAGTACCCACTATTTTTTTTACTGAAATCACTTTAATAAAGTCTATTAAATCAGTAGAGAAAAGGTTTTTCATGAAAATCAGTGTTGATCATAGGTTACCTGTGGATTTAAGGGAAGGCACAATTTTGTAAGTTCTAGTGGAGCCATTTTTAGGGGTCCATAATTTCTTACTGAATTGTATCTTATCAGCAAATTTCTAAAAATTAGGAAGCCTACCATATATAGAAACTAAAAAGATATGTCTTTACTTCTTAAACTGCTAGTTTTGTATATTGACCCATCAAAAATCAACTTTCTATATCTGCAAACAATTTTTTCGGTTTTTTAGGCAACCATTATGGATAAAATGTGACATTAAACAATTCAATGTCAAAGTTTTAATAAAGTAAGCCCAGCATTGTATATGATAAAAAAAAACTTAAAGGACTTCTGAAATTTCCTTTTTAAAATACAGAGCTTCAAAGTATGAACAAAACATGTTTTTGCTACTGAAGTTTTTGTTTTTGGAAAAATCAGAAATTTCAAATGGCCATATCTCATGAATCACATAAGATTTGAAGCTGAAATTTTCAGGAATTGCTTTTCTCATTGATGTAAACCAACCCACCAAGTTTCATCAAAATCTGAGGGGGTCCATGTTGGACCCTGGTTCACTTGGCATGGAATGACCCATTACATTATACATATGCAAGTTTATGTATTACACATTACATTACACATATGCGAGTTTATGCATTACACATTACATTACACATATGCTAGTTAATGCGAGTTAGCTATAATTTTTACTTAAACTTTATATTTTTTATTACTTTTTTTTGAAATGTAAATTTTTTTATGTGATAACTTCAAAAAAGTAAAAAATAATGTTAAAATAAGAGAAACTCAAAAGGTATTTTAATCATGTTTTAAAAATGTTTTAACCAAATAAATTCTAAGATTTTTACCTGATGCATTTTGCAAATGCAAAGTATATACACTATGTTCATTACTATTTGAATGATCATACTTTTTAAAGTTATCAAAATTAAATTTTAAGGTTATTAAACTTTTTAAAGTTATCAAAAAACTCACTATTGGTAGAGAAACTGAAAGACTAGAAAAGATGCAAAACACAAGCTAAACACTAGCAAAAAAGACTAGAATAACCTCTTTTACTTAATAAAAAATAAAACATCAAATTAAATTATTTATATTTTACTCTTATCTAGTTACTAATCTTTATGATAAGAACATATTCTTGCTTTACATATTCTTGGCATTCTACATAACAAAACATGCTTCACATGTTCTAGGCTTTCTACATAACAACTTCTCCAATTTGAAGTCAATTTTATTCCATTCACTATTAAGTTTTTCCACATATCTTTTGCATCATAAGACTAGTTTTTTTACATTTCTTTTTAGTTTATCCCATAAAAGTTCAATAGGAGAAAGATCTGGTGATTGGGGAGGCCAATCATTCATTCTATTCAATAATTGATTATTCTCTAACTCACTTAAGTAATTCCTACAAAGTTTTAAAGAATGGTTTGGATTGTTATCTTTTTGAAAAATGAATGGCTTCCCAATAGTCTAACTTCCTGAAGGTATGGCCAGATTTGTTAAAATATTCAAAATTAATAAAAATGACTTCCCAGTTTTGCCCACTCCTGTCTTAATTGTTTAATTTGAGGATAAAGGAAAGGTTTCCTCACATCTATTCTGCCACCAAGCCCTGCTTCAATCAATCGTCTCTTTACTGTTGTAACAGATACTGAAGCTACTTGAGAACAATTCAAAGTATAGGTTAATTCTGGAACTGTTAATAATCTATTTTGTTTTTCAACAATGTCCCAGTTTTTTTCAATTGACCACACTTCCAGTTTCTTTCTTCTTTTAAATAATATTCCAAACTGTAGAGCTTGAAAACTCAAGTTTTTTTGCTATATGATGCTTAAAATGTTTTTCTTGTCACAATGTGAATATTGCAAATTGTTTTTCCACAGTCAATTCTTGTTTTCCGGTCATTTATCATGTAATAATAGCAACAATTTATATAAATTATAAAACTATTAGTGTGAAACTAACTATTGAAATTCAATTCAGTAAAATTATTGCATAAATAAATCTCTTGAAATAAAATATACAGTACTAGTTAAATGTATTGTAATGTATATTGTTTACATTATATAATCTTCACAAAAACATCAGACTTGATAATTATATTGTTTATGAACAATTAACGTAAATATCGGACTTGATAATTGCGTGGTTAACAAAGCAGTACTCTTATGTAAATAAACACTAAATCCTACTTCAACCAGTTAAAGCACAAAGTTCGTTAACTTGACGAATTTAATCAAATTATTTAAATCAAAATACTTTTGTATTACTTAAATTATCTAGTAACGCAATAATTATCTAGTAACGCAATAATCATCTAGTAACGCAATAATTATCTAGTAACGCAATAATTATCTAGTAACGCAATTACACAGTAAGTAATGCAGGAATAAAAACTTAAAATTTATAAAAATAAAATATTTTTTTTAAAGTTAATGTCATTTGAATAATTATGAAGGGTAGTGTATATATATTATATTATATATATTATTATGTAATTATAATTTATAATGGGGTATTATCTTGTACTTTAGCTGATAATGAAGAGTTAGTTGCAATAAAAAATCCGGTAGGTTTTATTTTCATTAATGTACAAACAAAAAATTGTATATATTTTTATAGTATAAACCTTTTATTTTTGTTATGTTAGTAAATCTAATTTACTATATATTATAATATGATAATTTACTATATATTATAATATGATAAATAAGAATAAAATCTAAAAACTAAAGCAATAACAAAAAAAAAAGAAAAAAAAAAAGTTAAAAATAAAATTTAGCAAAAAGAAACAGTTAAGTGGGAAAAATAAAAATGTGAAGCAAATAAAAATAAAAAAATCATTTTAAGGTTTAATAAAATGTATATACTTTTTTTTTTTACGCAAGCAAAAAATATTATTGATGAAGCATGTTATATACATTTTTACTCTATGTTTTATATAATTCCCTTTTCTTTTTGTAATGGAAAGAACTTACCCTAAAATTATATCCATAATTAAATACTGGAGTTTGGAATCAAATTTAGGCGCCCTAACCGGTATACAGGTTTCAAAATTGGCCTGTATACATCACGGTATTGTTATACTTTATACTATATAATAAAATCATTAATAATGTTAAAAATTGTCAGTAAAAAAAAAAAAAAATAGTAATAATTTTATTTACATGTTTTAAATATTAATAAGTATTTGACTATTTTATTAGGCTATACACTCACGAGACATTCGCACTCAAGATCCCAATAGCAATATTACGGTAGTAACTGAATTTATTAAGAAAAAGGATGAAAATATTTGCGGAAATACTGTTACTCAAGATGTAACACAGAATTTATTAGTAAACTCTGATTCGAAAAACAAAAAAAATATTTCTCCTATTGTAATTCATAATGCTGATTTAACTACTGAGGTGTCTTGCAAAAAAGTGAATTGGGGTGATTGTGACACCCCCTGTGCTGACGATTTTGAGGTTGCCTTTGAACCATTAGATGAAAAGGTATTTGAAGATGTAACTAAAATCACAAGCCCACAGACTATTGAAGTTGAGCTCAATATAATTAACAATGATTTAGCTAAAAAAAATGATTCTATTAATCTAATTATTACAAATGAATGTCAAACCATGGTTTCACCAAACTTAAATAAATGCCAGACTTTGGTTTCACCAAACTTAAATGAATGCCAGACCATGGTTTCACCAGACTTGAATGAATGTCAGACCTTGGTTTCACCAAACTTAAATGAATGCCAAAATATGATTATACCAAACTTAAATGAACCTTCAATTCCAACAACTGAAAATCAAAAATCAGCTGACTCAAACACTTTGAATTCAACTTCAGTAATCCCACATCATTCACAAACAGAGAGTACCCAAAATTTAAATGTAGAATCATATCAAGTAACAATTGATCTACCTGAAAATATTTCAAAAGATATAAAAAAAACTAATTTTTCTAACAACGAAGAAACAAAAACAGATAACAAAAACAATGAAAGCAGAAATAGTGAACCAATGAAATTCAATAAGGAAGTGTTCACCAGCTCATTTGACGGTAACAGTTTAACTCAAAGTAGTTTAAAATCAGAAATTGTTCAACCACAACTAATCAATCCAGTTGATAATCACTTTAAAAAAAAAATTGTTCAAGCACAGCCAATTTTTCGCCCATTCGAGTATAGTTTAATACCAAGAGACAATTTTGATATAATAAATTTTCATGAATACTTGGCTGAAAGTCAATCTGTGTGGGTTGCACGAGAGCTATGTAATTTGACACATCGGTATTTAGAAAATATTTCATCTAAGTTTTTCCTTAAAGTATGTCCTCCATTTAAAAATGAAATGTATGATGAATTAAAATTAATTTATGAAGATAAATGTTTATACTTAAAGGATCATGAAGCAGATGCCATTAAATATAATCAAACACGAAATATTCCAATATTTGTTGTCTTGAAAAAAAAATTTAATCAGGAGACCGAAAGAGATTCAGTCAGTTTAGGTATATGTCAGGTGTTGGGTCCTGTTTTACCTGTATATGGAAAAAAATATCGATTTAAGTGTTCATCACAGTTTATTAGCACAGCAACTATTGAATGGAAATGGTGTTTTGTTCAAAAAACTTGTGAAATTGAAAAACAAAGTATGAGAAACTACTTAAAGACTTTAATAAAGAACTTGCAATGTGGTAAATGCTGTGATACTTTTAAAGAGGTATACTTGATTTTTTCTTTATCATTTTTTTATTTGTTTATTTCACTTTATATATTTTATATTGATTTTTTATACTTTATTTGATATATATTTATAATGCATATTTTACATAGCTACATGAATTATAAAAAGTTTTAAATAATCTACAATAATTATATTCTATATATTCTATTTAATTTTCAACACTTTTAATTTTTGTCCCTTAACATTACTTATTGTTTAAGTTGACTTTTAAGACCGAAGTTGACCACTACACATAAGATTATACAGAGTTTCTTTTAAATATTTGCTATTATATTTATTATTATTTTTTTTAAGCATCTTTTTATTTTATTTTTTATTTTAATTCACCTCCTCAAGGCCGAGAAAGCCACTACAGGCGAGGAGGCTACTTATTTGTGGCTATAACCCTCTCTCAACTCTATAACTCCGAAACACGAACCTTGACGAACAAAGCTGCTGCGCGGAGAAACGAGTTGAGCGCGGTACTACCAGGGACGTGGTGGGGATCAAACTCAGAACCACTCGTTTATGTGAGCGCTCTACCACTACACTACTACGGAATTTTACTTCCAACAAGGCTGCAAGCGATTACTATTAGATTTAGAAGTTACTAAAAGAGAAAAGATTTATAAAATTAAAGTTTATAAAGCAAGATAATGATTAACAGACAACTTGAAAGATTTCAAATTGTATGAATCAGAAAAACAAGATAAAGGGAGTGAATTCCAAAGAGCTGCTGTTTGAGGAAAAAAACTAAACAATTAAGAATTTTTGGAGCACTTATAAACAGTCACAGTAAAAGGATGAGGCTTAATTGAATGACAAGTAACATAAGAATGAATTTTAGTAGATGGCACAAGAGAAACTAGCTCTTTAGAGCAGTGTCTATTATAAAAATTATAGAAAAGAGAAAGAGATGCAACATTACTACAATCTGACAATGGTTGAAGGTTGACTGCAAGAGCAGGTCCAAGTATATTTGCAATGTGTTTTTGCACCTTGTCTGCAAACAAAGACATCATTAGATCTGCTCCAGATATGACAACAGTATTCTATACAAGGAAGGTTTTAAGATTTATAGAGATAAAGATATGACAACAGTATTCTATACAAGGAAGGTTTTAAGATTTATAGAGATAAAGATATGACAACAGTATTCCATACAAGGAAGGTTTTAAGATTTATAGAGATAAAGATATGACAACAGTATTCTATACAAGGAAGGTTTTAAGATTTATAGAGATAAAGATATGACAACAGTATTCTATACAAGGAAGGTTTTAAGATTTATAGAGATAAAGATATGACAACAGTATTCTATACAAGGAAGGTTTTAAGATTTATAGAGATAAAGATATGACAACAGTATTCCATACAAGGAAGGTTTTAAGATTTATAGAGATAAAGATATGACAACAGTATTCTATACAAGGAAGGTTTTAAGATTTATAGAGATAAAGATATGACAACAGTATTCTATACAAGGAAGGTTTTAAGATTTATAGAGATAAAGATATGACAACAGTATTCCATACAAGGAAGGTTTTAAGATTTATAGAGATAAAGATATGACAACAGTATTCCATACAAGGAAGGTTTTAAGATTTATAGAGATAAAGATATGACAACAGTATTCTATACAAGGAAGGTTTTAAGATTTATAGAGATAAAGATATGACAACAGTATTCTATACAAGGAAGGTTTTAAGATTTATAGAGATAAAGATATGACAACAGTATTCTATACAAGGAAGGTTTTAAGATTTATAGAGATAAAGATATGACAACAGTATTCCATACAAGGAAGGTTTTAAGATTTATAGAGATAAAGATATGACAACAGTATTCTATACAAGGAAGGTTTTAAGATTTATAGAGATAAAGAATAGAATCTTGAGAAATGGCAGGCACGAAAATGACAAGCTTAGCAGATGCTAATTTTGCAATAGATTTGATATATGGTTTCTGCAAAAGATCAGGAGTAAGAGTTCCTAGAAGATGAAGGGTAGATGACTCATCGAGTACATAGCCATTCATAAGTATAAGAAGATCTAGATTGTTGCAATAACAATTAACTAAATGAATTAACTATAGGGCCAAGGATAGAATCTTGAGGAACCCCTGAAGTTGCAGGAAATAAAAAGAGTATACTACGATTACTACGATTGGTAAGAATTTAATAGTCTTGAAGATGTTACCTAAATCCAAAAAGTTATATAAGAAGCAGAAAGACGAAAGATTTCTACCCAAGGGCCATTATGAAGAAAGTTGCGTAAAGCGTCACAGTTAGTATTAAGATAGTTGTAAGAGATATGATGATAGGGGGATTCTGATGATGAAGAAAAATGAGATAATAGTTTTTGAGAGATCAAACCATGATCAGAAGCACCTAAGGCTGAATGTGGAGAAACTGAATACTGACTAAGATAAGAAACAAGACGTAAGTCGAGTAAAGTAAAATGTAAGTAAATGATTTGGATTGTCTGGAAAGTGAGTGGTAAAGTTGACTATTTGTGTTGAGAAAGGAACAAGTTGTGGGCTTTAATACTTGCAGTGTCACTAGAACTAATCTATTCTGTGTGATGAGCATTAAATCACCAACAATAATGATATTGGCTGAAGGATAAAGAGAATGGGCTTGATCAATTTTATCAGAAATAACATCGAAAAGAGCGCACTCTAGAGATGAAGGAGAGCAATATAGAACAAAGGGAAAGGCAATAGATTGAAGTGATGTTAAACAAAAACACATAAAAGAATAGTCTGGGGTTTCAAACTTAGTTTCTCGACAAATGGGTGAGTTTTTACGAATG